GCGCCGCACAGGCTTTATTAGCTACATCCTGTCACATTACAAACATGGGGATGAGAGATAAGCAGGCGAGTTTTAACTCTTAATTCTCTGTCCACAAAGTACCATGGTATTACCATGTTTTGTTTAGATGTAGTCCATTGTTTTTTGGACTTTTACCATATTAATTTAGGAAGTAAGCTACATTTTCTTTGTTCTTGTTATATTTGACTCTTTAAAAAAAAAAAAAAACGAATTTTGTCAAATAGAACATATTTTGTACAGGAAACGCTGTTTCGCTGCAGTTCCATAAGTGCCACCTACTGTCAGAAAGTGAATTTGCGTTCTCTTGCAGCCCGCCTGCTGTTTTTGTTTTGTGCGGATGTTTTATGCAACATAATTTAACAAAATAGAAGTCAGACCATTCTGTTTTTGCTTCAAATTTCAAAATTATACAATCTACTTTAAAACAAAAAAAAACTGCTCATGCTGCATGTATGCGGCATCTTTGTTTGGATTGGGATTAAAATGCAGTGGTTACTTCTAATTTAAAATGAAAAGATCACAGACAAAGCCTTAGTTTGAGATTTAAGAGAGATTTCTTTCATTTGTATTTATATATTTATTTATTATTCAGTTTAGTTTTGTTATTTGACATAGGCCTATTTCAATTTCTCAAAGAAATGTGAAGCATTTTGTCTGAGAAATAATAAAAGGACACCTTTTCGTTTATAATTAGTCTTTTGTTCAAAAAATTGTGAGAATCATATCGTGAAATCAGTAAAGTTGAGTGAATCGTTATATCCCTACACACGCTTAGAACGTTTACGTTTATCAAGTCATCAATGCAAATTCTCTTTACGAAGGCATATCAGTTTAATACACTTACATTTACCCGATCCCAGCCTAGAGACCCATTGAAAGCATGCAAACTGTATTTAATATGAAACAAATCAGAGTCCATCAGAAATTCCAGCACTATTGACACATTTTGAACCTGTTTTTTTGACCCTTTTATTTGCATAAACTTCAGGTTTTCTTAATCTTTTGATCCTATCACCACTTTAAAATAAGGTTCAGCTTTAGTTAATGCAGTATGCTTCATGAACATCATTTTTACAGCATTTATTACATCAGGTTAATGTTTAATTTTTAAATATGCCAATGCTATTTGTTAATTCATGTTCAAAATACATAAACTCACGTTAATTGTACAACTTGAAATGTTAAACATGCGTTAGTATATGTAGAAATGAACTTTAACTTAGGACATTAAACATCTTATGGTTTTTATGTTTAGCCTGTTTTTTTGCCATGAAAATAGCCTTGAATGCTGGCATTGTGTTCAAACAAACTTATCATTGACTAATATAACCAATTAAACAAACTAACATATTGAATTTTATTGTAAAGTGCTACCGGTTTGTCAAAAATAAAGATGATATGCATTTCAAATGTGCTTTAATTGTAACGTCTTGTCTGTTTCTGTCTCTGCCTGTGTCTTCACAGAGGTTAATTTGTTCAGTCCGTCTCAGATCTCAGAGAAAATCCTTCTGCGTATCCTTAAACACCCTGATGTGATCCAGGAGATCAAATTCAATGAGAGTGATAAGAGATCGGCGCACCACTACCTTTACCTGCGCGGCAAACCCGTGGACTTCTTCATCCTCATACTGCAGGTAACGGCACAAACTGATGCCAATTACCTGATCCTTAGCAGGGTTACGGCTTGGAGGGCTTTTAAAGCCAATTAGCCAGACAAGGTGTTTTAAGCAGGTTAAGCCAACAGGCTTTAGCTCTCAGCGTGAGCGTGTGCTTGGCATTACCTTCTGTTGCCGCATGCTAAAACCAAGCGGCAGCCTTCCGCTCTCTCTCGTGAAACCAACACGGAAGTGACTAAAACTGCAATTCATCGACTGGCCGCTAGAGGCTGGCTCCAAAAGGGAGTCAGTCCCATAGACTCCCCATGTTAAAATGCCCAACTTTACAGCAGAAAAAAACATGTTTACATTACAGCCTGGTACAAAAAGTGGTTTTGGTCTATATAGCTAATTTTGCCCTTCATGACAACTGTGAAGGGGGTGATTTTTTTTTTTATAACTCATCCGTTTAAATTATATTAAGCCTTAAAGTTCTGCATAATTAAGGGCGTGGCCACTTGAGTGACCGGTGGATTGCCGCTGCTGTCGCCACCGTCGAGCTAGGTGGGTGTGGTTTCAACAACCAGCGCCCGCCTCTTTGCCCATTTTCGATTATCCGGAAGTGATGCGCGATGACGCACTACCAAGATGGCGACGGCCGGCTCCGCCTACTTTAGGCTTCAAAAACGCTCTTCGGAAACCTACGGGTGACGTCACGGACACTACGTCCATGTTTTTATACAGTCTATGGCTAAAACTGAGGAGTATAAATGAGACTTCCTGTCTCACATCATGGCTATATTGTGATGTTTTGGAACATCTAAATGTCTGTAATCTCTCCAGTCCATATGTTGTGCGTTATGGTTTGTTAAAAAATGATTTCAGAGGACCTTAGAAAGATGCTTTGAGATATAAACTACCTTTCAAAAGTTTTGGATTGGTAAGATGTTTTCGGAAAGAAGTCTCTTATGCTCACCAATGCATTGATTTGGTCAAAAATACAGTAAATATTGTGAAATATTATTCTAATTTTATCGGGAAGCTGAATTTTTTGCATCAATACGCCACTCTTCAGTGTCACATGATCCTGATTTGGTGCTCAAGAAACATTTCTTATTATTATCAATGTAGAAAACAGTTGTGATGCTTAATATTTTTGTGGAAAGAAAAATCTACTTTTTAGATGAGAAAAAAGAACCACTGCTGTCTAACTTCCGCAGCAGTGGAGCTGTGTTGCTGATGTGCTGGTCTGTGCAGGTCTGAAACCACTCTGTGGTTTGTCCCAACTTCATTCCCCCTCAAGATAACAAAAGATAAAAGTTGAAAATTCAAGAAACTTAAATTTACCAGTGAAAGTTACATCAGAAAGAATTCAAAACACAGAGAAACTGCAGGAAAGAAAAAAAACTCAAACGCATCCCAAAAATAAGTCTGAACTGCAATAAATAATTTGTTTAAAGAAATTAGGCCAAAATACCTTGTAACTGTTGCACAACTGCAGTGAAGTAGCAATAAAAAGCATGTGATGGAAGTTTTTGCCAATAAGGCAGGCTTAATGAAATATATGTCTGCACACGCTTTCCCATCCATTAGCTTAGCATTTGTTTAAGATATGCCACTGTGTTAAATTATCACCTGGATTAAGCTCATCACACATTTTGGGGGCTTTTAACATGCAGAAATCCCTATGATTTTGTTTAAGAGTAGACATTTAGTTGTACATTTTCCCACAGTGGTACCATCATCCATCACTTATTCCTTCATTCATTCTCTTGAGTCTCACTCTTGGGTTTGTTGTTGTTATTATTGGCTTCTAAACAATCATTAGACCATTCAGCCCATGCTGGTTAAACATCACATGCCCACCTCAGCCATTCAGTGATTCAGTGAATTACAGACCCCACACATTGTTTCTTCTACAATGGGTGTTTAAAGCCATGATAATCCTAAAAAAAAAAAAACGAGGGAAACCACATAATAGCAGAAAAATCAGGGTTTCTGCAGATTTTATGAAGGTAAATTTTATCAGCATTTACTGACCATCAAGTTGTTCCAAACCTGTATGGATTTTTTTTTTCTTCTGTTGAATGCAAAGATGATGTTTTGGAGAATGTAGGTACCCAAACAGTTGCTGGTAGTGTGGAACAAAAACTATGGAAGTCAGTGGCTACCAGCAGCTGTCTGGTTAACGAATATCTTCTTTTGCATTCAACAGAAGAAAAAAATGAATACATGTTTGGAACAACATGAGGGGAGTAAATGATGACAGAATTTTCATTTTTGGGTGACCCTTTTAAGATCAATTAAAGAAAATTTAGATGATAAATTAAAGGAAACACAGTACATCAATATGTTCTGTAAATTAAACTGTACACAACAATGTATACATTGAGTTGTATTAGCAACAAGTTTGAAAAATACAACTTCCAACCAGTGTTATTTTAGTATCATTGAGGTTCGATTTGAGTTTTCATTAATATTTTGAATTAGTTTTTATTTTTATATTATCTGTTTTCATTTTCATTTGAGTTCAAATATACATCATTTTGTTGTGTGTTTTTGTCCGTTTTATTAGTTTTCTTTTTCTTTTTTAAATAGGTATATATAGTTTTTAATAATTTTTATTTCAGTTAAAGTTTGTCATTTTAGTACATCAAGTTAAACTAAATGTAAATGAGAGATATTGGCGACTAGCTGAAATAAGTTATTTTTTTATGTTTTCATTTTATTTCAGTTAAAGTTTATTTCAATTAACACAAACATTAATATCTTCATTTTGCCTCTGAAGTAAATATATCTTGATTTAAGGATGTTTAGATATGTGTTTTGGAAAATAGGACAAAAATAAGAAGATAATTATTTTTGCAGTGCAAGCAACACTTAATGCCATGAATTTAAGACTTGAATTTCAGGCCTTAATTTCTGGAAAGGGTGATTAAGACTATTTAAGTCTTAAATAGAAAAAATATATATAGACACATTTTAAACTTGTGTAGTTTGTGGCTCTTACGTAAACTTCACGACACTGATCTCTGTTCCTTGATCTGTCATGGATTTAACTTGTCAAGTTCAAGCGCTTCAGTTAAAATGTCTGAAGTCAGTTCACCGGTGTAGATTATTCACAGTGAGAAGGAGATTCATTAATAGGTTATGAAGTGCACACTAGCAGCAGTTTGAGGCTGTTAAATATGTCGTGCAGCTGTTGGTGTGGCTTTTGTTATTTATTATTTAAAGCGACTCAATGATGTGTTTGTGGAAGCAGGATATGCTGTATCATTATGATTATTATTTAATACATTGAGTGCACTTGCAAGTAGACTTCCCAACATGGAGACCTTTCTTTCCTGGCACCGGTTGAAGACGGCCTCAAGCTGAGAGCGGCCGAGTGACCTTCATCAAAGATTAATGCTGCTTTCTCTGAGGTGTCAGGCTTTGTGCTAAAGATCCACTGCACTCTTCTGCTGCACTCCTGTGCATATGTGCTAAAATGACTTGAAGTTTGTGAGAAAAACAGTGTATGTAGATTTTCCAGGTTGCACTTGAAGGAAAAACATAAAGTTTTAGAACAATCCAAAAAACAAGCCTTACATCAATAAAAATAAATAAAGGCATTAAGACTATAAAGCAAAAGATGATCAAATTTAATTTACCTTTTTTTTAAGGACAAACTAACAAATAAAGACAAGACAAACATTTATGTATATTTATTCATATAATTTTGATTTTATACTTATTTAATTTTGTTTTACTTTCTTTTACAAAAAATATTTTCTAAAACCTAAATTTAAGGCAACACAAAATAAGAAAATAGTTAGTTTCATCAAATCATTTGCAAACATAAAAATAAGATAAACCTTTTGATGTTTATTTTGAGTTGTCTTAAAATTAGATTTGAGATATTCATGATAAATATAGCTTTTAGATTGTTTTTCAAAAAATCTACATGATTAGTTTTTTCTCATAAAAATGGTTTAATTCAAAATAAAGCATAAGTTTAGTTTTAATTGTTTTTTTATTTTATTTTCAAGTGTATTTTATTTCTTGCAAAATATAAAACACTAATTGAAGATGAATATAAACTTTAGCTTTGAGATTTTGTTTTTCAAAAAAATCTGCAAGATTTTTTTTCTCGCTCTCAAAATCTGATAAAAAAAATAAATATTGAGACACAATGACATTTTGTTTATTAGAGAACATGACTAGTCAGTGAGGTCCACAACTGGAGTTTTAGCTTACATTTGTTTAGCAGCAGTGCTTTGAAGATGAATTTGGAAGGTTTTAGATTATTTACTGTTGGGCTTCAAATCAGCTGCTGTGATTTACACACTTGGTATTATTTGTAAATCGTAGGTCTCCTTTTTTTTGTGCGCACTGGACATAATTTTATGCAATAAAAACTTATAGATATTTGGCCTATTTATTTGTTAAATATCTGTTAGTCACTGTACTGAATGTAAAAGAAACGCGTTTGGTGGAGTGGCCAACATAATTATACAGGACGTCTTCAAGAGCGACTAATCGTTTGGACAAACCACTGTCTAACTGATTTTGGAAATATGTAGTTTTACACATCCCTATTTAACTCTGCTTTGTGAAGGAGAGAATTATAGCAATGCAGGAAGAGAGGCTGTGATTGTCTCTTCTGTACACAAATACTTGAAGAAGTTTACTTGTACTCATGTGCACATGAGCACTGTTGTTAGTTACTCAAACAAAGACCTGTTAAACATACTCATAGCAATTTTACAGTGTGTGTTTGGCCACCCACGTTTTGTGTTTGTGAATGATTGACAGTGCTGAAGCTGAGGAGAGGTTACTGAGTGATGCAACTTCACGAGGCCTTCTGCACGTACACACACATATAAACAAACATTATCTCTTCTCAACACCTCCATTTATTTATACAACCCATCTGCAGGCATTGCAAGATCACTGTGCAATACCATGCATGTATGAGACAAATTGGCCTGACAAAACTTTGCATTTGGGATGTCCAGGAAGTTTTTTTTCTTATTTATTGTTCATAAAATTATTTATTT